GTAGTTTATTAAAATTCAAAATAAACTTATTTTTCGAATTCATGCTGCAAATAAGGCCATATTTCGATTCCGAATGAATCATCATCAGTGCTCCTTGCTGTATATATAAGGAAATAATGACTTTGTCAAGATGAACTTTGACGTTGTAAAAATTAACTTTGGTAGAATTTATAGAACAACACTTTAGTGAGAAAAATCGAAAAAACGAACTACAAACATATTAACGCCAAACATTCGGTATAATTTATAGAATATTGTAAAAATATATATATATATATATAGACAGAGACAGACAGACAGAAATATATACCTGTATATAGACAGACACAGACAAACGCAGACAGACACACAGAGACAAACAAATAGAGAGAGATACATATTCTATTATTTACAGAAAAAACAGAGATAATCTTTTTATTGGCCACTCTGCTCTCGATCTCTGGCATATACATCGACAGGAGAATTGAAATGTCCAACGACCTACCGTCGCCGGTCAACGATAGAACCAACTACACAACCTGGAAGACTCCGTGCATGCAAAGTCGTCAAGACGCCGAGTACGATGCCAACCTGCTGGAGCTGCAGAGAGAGTATAAAGAGAAATTTCTCGAAGATTTGGACAGAAATTATGTGAAATTGTACGATAACATGGTTCGATTGAAAAATAAAACTGACACTCTAAAGGATAAATTTGTGAGTCCAGTTATTTTTTCTGATTTTTTGTGTTTATTAAGGTGTGATGACTTAATTGCAAATTTTTTAAATTTTTACCTAAAAAATGAAAATATAAAATGTTCTGAAATAGCGATAGCTTAATGAAAAGTTCAGCTATATGAAAAATATATAAACGAATATTACAAATAAATTTTAAGTTCACAAATAAAATTTTAGCATGTCGATTGGATAGTGTGAAAATATAAAATTTAACAACTGCACAACAACAAAATTTCACACACACGTTTGGAGGAAAGCGTTTTTATTAGAAATCATTATCCGACGGCAGGAAGCTTTATGTTTCATTCATGTACTCAAAGTAATCTGCAGGCTACTTTAAATCAAAATTTATATTTGAATAAATTTCTACTGTATTTAAGTAAGCAATTAATAAAAGTCGTGCCGATCATAAAGAGGCTTCCACATTTTATGGCGCCTCCGCAATGAATGTTTCATAAATTCAAATTTATTGTCCACTTTCCTATGTTCTTATGATGTCAGTTAACAAAGGAACGACGCTGGCACTGAAAGGAACTGTATACAAAATTTAATATAAAACGATTTGTAAATTGTAAATGAATGATTTTTTCTTAGAAATCAACCATATGTCTACTACACGATTAAAACTAATTATGATAAATCATTCCCTCAACTTTTTGTATATATAATGCCCGATTTATCTAACCTATGTTCGTGATGTTCAACAGCGGACCGCAATAAAATTTGCAAACAGTTTGATCTTCTGATTAGCTCTGAACCGTTGAGCGCTGAAAAATAATCAGTGAAAAAGAGAGTTTTATAAAATTGACAGAAAAGACTTAAATGAAAATTGTTTAACAGACTCCAACAGTTATTAATACTACTACTTGAACCTAAACGCCCCGGTATACGATCGTCTTCTTGTTTTCACTTCTTAACACTCTTTTGCTAAATATGCATTTGTTTTTTATCCATGTTCTCTAGAACTCTCTACCTCCTTCTCTGACTACTTCTCCATCACTTACGAAGTTCAGAGCGGATCTCAAGACCCATCTGTTTGCAAAATTCATTGAGGAGCGCTGTTGAACATCGCAGAAATAGCGATTTATGAACTAATTGATTGATTGATTCTGTTAAAACTGGTAAGAAGTTCCAAGACCAGATTAAAGGCATTTTCATTCACCATCCGTTATACAGTGTTATATGCATTTAATTTATGGTTTAACGATTTTAATCGAAGTTGATTTTTTTTTCCACATAATACCGTTGATTGATTGATTGTGATGAATAACTTGAAACAGGGGAAGCAGAGGCTAGAGGAATATATCCTTCTCGACCTGCAACTGAATTCCAATTCAACGAGAATCATTAAACTACCAGTTTTTAACCCAGTGGTTAACGTCGCAAATCGTGAGGTTCGTCATCCGATTTATAGACGTTTCTTCATAATAAGAACAAACAAATTAAAAATTTCAAATTCGCAGGTGTTCATCAGATTCCTTGTGAAGGCATTCACACATTTGGCCAAGTCGGCAATTATGCTCGAACAAGCCAAGGGAGGTAAAATATTCATTTGTTTCTAAATTGAAAAAAAACAATATTCTTTTGGTTTCAACAAAACTGAAAATAATTTTCAATGTTATTTACCTGAACTAGACGAGACGCAAGCGGATCAAGAGCCTGAAAACTACAAAGATGACTTCGTGACAATTTTAACAGACTCGGAAATGGGCGTCTACTGGTTACTGTGCTACGTGAATGTGATTCTGGAAAACCTCGACCATCCGTTAAATAGAAACATGACAGAGGAAGTATACAAAGTACTACCAAAATTATTCCTTCTTTGGGATCAGAGACTGAGAGACATCAGATCGTACAAAGTGTTAAGAGACACATCTGACATATTGGAATTGCTTATTAGTACTTTAAAGCAACTCGTTGATCACGTGCCAACGGGGACAACGCGTGGTGAAAAACATCTGCACACCACTTCATCGCATTCACGACATTCAAGCCACGGTAGGCACCACCACAAGGGTAGAATTAACAAACCATCAAAACAGCAGAGGCAATGAATTTTTTAGCGTCAAACGAAATATTCAACACGGCACGAAACAATTACTAACGCGGTTAGGCGTCTGTACTATTTACCACGTACTACTACTCTAACTCCATTCATTCCCTTTAAGATGTATTTAATGACCAGATCATCTCATTTCAAGTTTCAAACTTTAAAAATTATGACCGAACTGTTACAAACTTTTTTTTGATATATATTTATAAGTTTCTTTAATTATATTTTTACATGGGTAAAATCATGTTTTGTCATGTTCTCATCAAGTAAAGTTTTATCGGGTAAACAATCAGTAGCTTAGGATTTGTTAAATGCCTATATACACTGTATATTGTTCCTCCATGTAATATACACACACAGTAAATTAGAAGACTGCAAAACGTCAACTTCTTAAAAATCATCTTGGTGTAATCAACTGTTGCAACAAAATTATATCATGTGAAAACCATGTTGAAACAACAGAATAACCAAACCAAACATTTAATTCCCCTCATAAAATGTCATATCTTCATCTATATTGTACCAGTATTTCATGTAATGTACATAAATTTATTTATTTATTCATGTATATATATATATATATATATATATATATATATATAATATATATATTTTGAGACGAGGTTTCGGCATATTATATATATATATACATACATACATCAATACACATATATTTGTTTGTTTAAATGAAATGAAATAAAATAAAGGACAAGGTATTTTTTCTTCTCAAACCACAAAACACCAATCACGGCAAAGAATGGACAAACACAAAATAATTATTATTAATACATAGAAATCAATCAAACTTCTCTGTTCTAAATTTGTATTCATATTGTGTATGTATATATATATATATATATATATATATATATATATATATATATATATATATATGTACATCACACACACACACACAATAATAGTTATAATAAAAGAAATAATAAAAAATAACAATAACAACTAGGATAAAAGTGTCAGTGACGAAAATTTGCCATGTTCAGCCTAAGGATGGGTCCCTGAACCTGAGGGCCTGTTCACGAACTCTCCTTTCATACTCAGCCCTGTTCTGACTGTTCAGTTCAGTTCATTAGTTTAATAATCCACCATTCAATGATATGGTATATGTTATTAGGATTGTATTATTTGATATCATACAAATTTTTACCAATTTTGGTCTTTTTTTTTCAAAACCAAAAAAGCTTTGAATTAAATCAAGATAATCAAAACTAATTTTATAACACTGAATTATTCACCCTGGAACATTCCTTCAACTCAAAACCAAATGAATCAAGAAGATATCACTAAATTTATGACAATTCAATAGAAAATCTTTTAATTAACTAGTTTGGCAATTTCAATAAAACTGACCAATAGATCGTGTAAGCCTCTGCTTGTGCTGGGTCCTTAACATTTGGTTCATTCAACAGTTCTTGTATTCCAAGCAAGATCTGATCAACATTAACATATTTTCAAATTAAAATTTATATATCAGAGTAATAAAAGAAAGATATAATTATGAAAAATACACAATGTATATACATGAAATAAGGACATAAAATAATAAAGTTATAAAACTTTATCAATATAATGAAAAATAATTTTTTAATGAACAATAACAGATACAATAAGTCAGGAACATTATTAAGTGTATAGTAATATAACTGTATCTTTGGTCATAAAAAATTTAAATAATTTTTCAATAAGAAAAAAGTGAAACAATCCCAGTTAGTTTCTTCAATGTTATGCACCCCTTCAAAAGTAAGTGCAACAAACATCGTAAAAAAAATTTTTTAAATAAAATGATAGTACATTTCTCGATAAAGGGACTCATATAACACAAGAAGTTATTGAGTATGTAAGTCCAGATTTCAATATACCTGATGTTTGTCTGTGTTTGGAGCAATGGAAAACTCAGAAACATCAAGTGTATCAGGTGAATTAGATGAATAACCAACTATTCCTAAGATTTCAAGACTTGTTTTAAGAGATGTGTCTAGTTTTTGGGTCCCATTATATATGTAGAATTAATGGGTACTGTGGTACTAGATCACAATATTCCTGTGCACCATTGTTTAGAGCAATAAGATACTCAAAACATTAGGTTTATCTATACAGGTTAAGGAAAAATTTGAAAAAATTATTCCCCTAAATAAATTGAGGAAGATCACCTGCTTAATTGTAACAGCTGGTCTCCAATCTTTTTCCTCATCAAGCAAAGACAAACAGACTGTTCCAGATGGATAGACATTAGGATGGAATAGTGGGGGTTCAAATTTACCTGAGTTCACAAAGGTTTTACAATATTAATAAATGATAAAATACAACAGGTGATACTATAACCGTTATAGTCACATAAGATAAATAAAAAACAGTTAATGATCAATAAATAATTAAACTAATTAATTTGAAATGAATACAAAACAAAAATTAACATTTTGGAGGAGATGATGGGTAGTCGTCTTTGAACAACATACGCAATTTGTACAAACCTCCTTCCCAAGGAGTCTGCAAAACAAAAATATTTTTCAGGCAAGAGATATAATAACAATATGATATATAAAAAAAATAAATGACACGCTTTAAAATTTAAATGTGAATCAAATAAAATAATAAAATTTAAAAGCTTTATCCTTTGTAATTTTGTGGTATATCTTAAATCATTTTGTGGAAAATGTTATAATTGCAAAAAAATGGTACTGTTTTTTTTCCTGGAATTCCGCATTCCCAATTCATTAAATTTAGGGTTCCATCTGGAGCCTTTGTTGGTCTTGCCACGAATCCCTTTATAAATTTTAAAATTAAGCAATAATGAGTGAAAGGAATTGAGAATTAAAAAGCAGGAAAACGTACGAATGGATGATCCTTCCTCCATGCTTTTCGCTCCTCAGACAATCGACCAATGGCTATACCGCCGGACATAGTGTTAGCGTTTATTTGGGTGGTTCTTTAAAAATATCGTCTGATATCAATTAAAAGATGAAAATGAGAACTTTACAGCGTAAGTGGAGTCTTATTTGCGAAAAAACGAATCAAGTAAAACCAGAAAAGAACGAATCCCGCTTCCGATGTCGCTTTTGTTTCAGTGAGAAAAAAGAGTAATAATAAGCAATGGGATGCCAGGAGTGTTTATTCAACGAAGAATTAAACTGTCTCAAAATTCAATAGCAAGTAAATTTGTTTTAAATTGTATTAACATATTTTAAAATGTAAATAACTTTTAATGTTAACAAAATTAAAGCTCAAATTAAAAAAAAAACAAAAACTGCAAATTCAAATTTGCATCAAATATTATTATTCAATTAATGATTTCAACAGCCCGGCTAGCTCAGTCGGTAGAGCATGAGACTCTTAATCTCAGGGTCGTGGGTTCGAGCCCCACGTTGGGCGCAACTTTTTACACATGCTTTTATGTTAACATAAGCATAATTACCTTTTTTCAAACAACAGCTGAACAATGATGATGACGTCATAATTAAAGAACGTAAGAATCATCACTTTTGATAAAATCTTTCATTTAAAACAAAGTTGAGAGTTTAAATTGAGTTAATCAACTGTCATTTGACAAGAAATTAAATCACAATTAAAAGTTAACGAATTAAAAGTCTAATACTGAAGTAATTTTTTTCATTTTTGATGTTTCATTCCTCCGAGACACTGTGGAGACGGTTCTACTGTCTTTGATGACTCCTGCCATTGTTGTTCAGTCTTTGCCTTCGTTGAATTTGTAACCACAATTCAGAAAATTAATTTAACATTCCTATTACAATTACAAAATAAAATAATTTTGGCATGAGTTTTCGACATTCTTCAATTCACTATTACTGAAATAATTACCTTTAAGGTTCTACAATATATAAGAGTGTTGAAACCAAAAGAATAATATAACAAAACAAAAATGTGAAAAAGATCCTTACAACAATTGATAATGCATGCACTCCAGATTTCAATTCCTCCTTTAAAACATCATAAACCATTTGGTGCCTCTTAAAAATGTAAGTTATAACGATCAGAATTTATTTATTTAGAATAAAAATTATATAAAAAATATTTAAATAATTAAAAACAATAAGCCGAGCAAGATTTATAAGAAGGAAGGTGGAGCACTGCCTCGGGAATCCATGAAAAAGGGAAAGGGACCACCTTAAAAACTATGAGTTCTTAAATGTAAAACAAGTCGGATTTTTTTAAAGTGCCGGATATTTTTCATTTGACTAAGACAAACTGATAAAAAGGGCTGTCCACAAATAATTAAGAGACCCTTATAAATAATCACCAATCACAACTGAATAATTATGGGCCCACATTTCATCATTGCCCCGGGAAGGGCCTCCCGACTTGTAAATCTGACCTTAAATATGAAAAACATTAATCCTATATTAGTACTATAACCTAGGTTACCTTGGTTAGCCCTATGTCTTTGAATAAGTCTGAAATTATGACAACTTTGAAATGTGTTTCAGAGTCTTTAAAATAAAATGTTTTTTTTGATATTAATGAAAATAAATTTTATAAGGTTATAATAATTTATTAATATTTAATATTATTATAATATTTTATCAATAATTAAAAAAAAAGAATAAATTTAATTTATGTGAAATTAAACTAATTTAAAAAAATAAAACCTTTAGGAACGTTATGTTTGTAGCTTTCATTAATTATGTCCAAATGAGATGGCTGATAGAAATTTATATTTTAAATTCAGGATGCAGATTGTAAACTAAAAATTAATTAATTAATTAACTAACTAACAATGTTAATTTATTAAAAAATAAACTTGAAAATTAAAAAAATCTGAAAAAATTGAATGATCATACCTGAAAATGATTCGATAGTTTTTCGTGAATCTTTTCGTGCATAACCCCACCCTAATAAATGAAAATTTAACAAAAATAAATGCTGATTAGTTCCATGTGTTTTGAAAAGATACACATAACAAGACATTTTTTTAATGATTTGATTAACCAAATCCTAATAAATCATTATATAAGTGAATAAAACTATAAAATCAATAAACGATAAAATTAAATAAAGTATATCACTAAAATTTTAATTAAAATCATAATAAAATGTGATAAGAACACCACCTGCATAGCTTTCAAAAGTAATGTAGATGTAGAGAAGGATAAATATTTGGTTAACAAATGCTTTGCTGGTCTAACTGTTAGGTTAAGGTTAAGTTAGGATTAAATTAAAATTAAAATTAATTATTAAATTTAATTAAAACTTTAATTTTGTTATGATTTTGTAACGAACATAATGAACTAACAAACAGTAAAAAAAAACAAAAATGTATGAATAACAAACTCAGTACAAATAATGAACAAATTTAATATTGTAAAAATGTAAAGTAAATGCTATGTCATATATCAAGACAAGACCAATTCATTATTTTCAGGACATATAATTATTTTTTTATTCTAAGTTTATTTATGTTTATATAAACTTTATAGTTTATATGTCTGACTACTGAAAAAATCAGAAATCCATTCTCATTCTGGTTTCCTGGGTGTTGGATGCTAAGATGCATTTCCCCACTTTAAATTTTTTGTATCTCAATGCCATTGAGGCATTGTTGATCGATGTTGTTTGTTTTAAAAAAAACTACTGCAAAATACCAAAAAGGAAAACAAATCAAAACAATTTAAAAGAAACATTTTTAAACAATCAGAAGGAATCTCCGATTTTCACTTAAAAATTACATAAATGATGGGATTTGCGTTGTAAAACTATATTAAAAAAACTACCTAATTTAACCGGCATATCTAGTAGAGTAAGCTAAAAAACAGATCGCTATTCTTTAAACTTTAAAGTTTATTTGAACGAAAGTTCTGTTTTAGTCTAAATTCAGAATGTTTATCTTTGAATTAAAGTTAGTGAGTAGATTTATTTTAGTTATGTATCAAACAGTATCTTATTGAAAAAAGTAGTATCATAAAAAGTATAAAGATACTTTTTTCAAATATTCAAAAAATTCTCAATTTGATTTCATAGCGATATCAATGATTATGATGATTGTGACCTTAATAATTAAAAAACACAGATAAATTTATTAAATATGATGGGTAATTCCAAGGGTAGGCCTATTTACCAGCATACAACACTTTTTTATGGGTTGAAGCAGGGATATGCAAAGAACCTCAATTTTTTCAACTTTTAATTATTTTCAGTAATGTCTTCCCTTGTAGTAATTCTATTTAATTTTAATAATGATTAATAGAATTATGTATTATTAAATTATTTTTGTTAATTTGAATATAAAAATTGCTTTTGGTCCGGTGAAATCCGGTGGCTTACTAAAGCCGAAGGTTGGCTTAGTAGGATTGAACTATAGTCACCCTTTTTTTTACACTATTCGATCATGTTAAAAATTGGTTTGCTTATGAAATAAACGGCCTAAATAAATCAAAATTGTTATTTGAACAACTATCTTCATTATATTCAATGAATATTTTACATTTTGCTGGTGCTCATAACAAACTGGCTGCTGAAATCATACGTTGGCTTATAGCAGTGGCTTACAGGGTTTCATAGAACTCTTACGATAGCATTTTTTTGTACATATAATGCTTTAAATAAATCAATATATTCATATCACAATTATTTTTGTCAGTACTATAAATAGAGAAAATGCTTTTGTCAGGTGAAAAACAGTGGCTTACTGAAGCCGTAGGTTGGCTTAATCGGATTTTTTCTCATGTATACAATACTATGAGATAAATCAATCAAACAATCAGTCAGTCGGTCGGTCAGCCAGCCAGCCAGCCAGTCAGTCAGTCAGTAAGTCTGTCAGTCAATCAATCAACCAACCGATCAATCAATCAACTAAATTGAATGAACCAAATAAACAAAAATAAAAACAAAAATAAATAAAAAAAATTTGCAAGGCCTGTTAAAACTCGAACAAACAGTTAACCGTACAGATGTAAAAACAATTTCGAGATTTTAGTAAAGAAAGAAAAACACAGTAGTTGCTTTTATTTGAATTCATTCAAAAATGAAAAGTGACGGTTAATTAAAATTTTAAAATGTCAATTTTTTTTAAATTCGTATTTTAAATAAACAAATATAACAAAATATCGACCGATAAAAATAATTATTATCCATTATTATTATTATCATACACACTTCTTAGAAGTTCTCGAAGGATAATAAACCACGTAACATGAACATTTAGTAAGAACAGTTCACAACATATCATAATGACTAAATCAACATACTAAACAGAAATAATTTATACATGCATATATACAAAGTAAATCAAGAAATATCCAAAATTTATATAACCAATTTAAAAAAAACTAGAAACCAGTCAACATTTAATGAATAAATAAATAGACATTAAAAAAATTGTTCAAAAAGGTACAATTTAAGGCGACGACGAGAATGAAATGTAGTTTGTTTTGTTGGTGTGGTGTTGTGAAGCGAAAACAAACACATCACACAAAACTAGTAAGAAGTCGCAAGAATAATAGTCAGTCACCTACCTATAATAAAATTACTCTCAGGGCCCTAGCTTACTTATAAAACATTGACTCAACTCACTTACCTACAAATTTGTATTTCTCGTTTTAGACGTTTCAAGTATTTTATTTAACATATTTTAGCGTTTTTATTTTACTTGAAGCTTTTTAACTAATGTTAAGCCCTAGCCTACCTATAATTGTTTAACTCATCTCAGTCCCTAACTTACCTATGAATTAAATTAAAGCCCGGTTCACGGTAAAGAAAATAGAAAGTTGAAGAGAAACATAGCAACAACGACACCGAATGAATGGATGTTGTGTATGCATGTGTTGTATTGATGTGTGTGTATGTAAATGTGCGGGCGCGCACTCTCCAGAAACTTCACTCACTACCGACGAACCGACCATCATCTGACACGCATCGATGGAATGAATTTGACCGGATACTGAAAAATAAATTTAAAAAAAAAATTAATTCACTAAAATAAAAAGCAAGCAATTGGAAAAAATAGGCAACTTATCTTTTTGAGATAACACTCAATCTTTGTTCAAATTCGAGTACTTTCAAAGGTACAATGAAACAAAAACAAATTTACCTTTAACATTATCTTCGATTTGTCATCGGAACGATCATCATGAGACCACCATCTGAAACGTGCTGACGCCCACCACAGCCCACCTCTCATCATTCTGTAGACAAGTTTTTATTAATTAGCGAAGTAGTAAATGAAGAAACAAAGGAATGAACGAATAAATGATTAACTGAATGATTGAACGATTGGTTGAATGAATAAATTAACTAATTAATTAATCAACCAATGATTTAATGAATGAATAGAATGAATCAATGAATAAATTAACTGAGGAATAATTTGAAAGATAGTGATAAAATAAATGAATGAATGAGAAAAATAAAAAAAAGAAACTAAATCATAGTTCAAAAACCGTCGTTGTTTTTATCTTCGAATTGTCATCGGAACGATCATCATGAGACCTCCATCTGAAACGTGCTGATGCCCACCACAGCCCACCTCTCATCATTCTGTAGACATTTTTTTAATAGCGTATTAGTAAATCAAGGAACAAAGGAACGATCGAATAAATGATTAACTGAATGATTGAATAATTGGTTGAATGAATGAGTGAATGAATGAATTAATTAATAAATCAATGATTCAATTAATGAATAGAATGAATTAACGAATCAATTAATAGAAGAATAATTTAAAAGGTTGAGTGATAAAATGAACGAATGAGAAAAATAAAAAACGAAACTAAACCTTACTTCAAAAATCGTCGTTACTGTACTTTCCATTGCACCGACCACCACTATCTGGTCGGCACACAAAATACCATCCGAACTTCAGAGTATCAGTCCAACAGCCAACGAGCTGATTCTTCCTACACCACCATCATCATATGTAAATCATCATGAGACCACCATCTAAAACGTGCTGACTCCCACCACTGCCCACCTCTCATCATTCTGTAAACAAAATTTTTTTATTTGCGTAGTAGTAAATGAATGTTAGAATCTTAGAAGCAAAAAAAATTAAATTATAAAATGAAAATAATGTCAAATAAATAAAATTTTAAAATAATAAAGTAAGTAAAATGTAAAAAAAACTTACCGTCGTCCATTCGACAAAGGTAGAATGTTGAATGCGGTCCGGTTCCTACGTTGTCCTCCAAAACTGGTGCCAGTCCAGTTGTTGAAACACAGCCCGTGTTGATGGAGAGAGATAGAGAAAGAGTAGATTCTCATCAGAAAGCTTAGCGGTGCATCTCAAATTGCTTAATAAAAATAATCCTATCTACCTATTCAATTACCTTAACTAATCTATATTAAATTGTTAATGGTACGATAGTCGAAAGTCCCCCTTCATTCTCCCTCCTTGCACAGAGGTTCACCGACAGCCAGGGCACCGGATAGAAAACCATTGCCGTGCGGATAGTAGACTATTGCCGTGCGGATAGTAAACCATTTGCCGTCCGGAAGCCGTGCGGGTAGTAGACTATGGCCGTGCCGCATGGTAAATCATTACCGTGCAGATAGTAAACCATTGCCGTCCGGATAGTAAACCATTGCCGGTACACCACTGGCCACCAAGGCTTACCTCTGACAACAGACTTCGAAATTCAGAGTCTATCGGCTATCGTACCCTCAACTTACCTATTCATTACAATTAAGCCCTAGCTTACCTCAAATTACAAAAAAACTCAAGA